ATCTGCCTTCCTCTAACTGAGGCTTGTTGCTGCTGCGACACGATGGAAGGGAGAAGAAGAGCCAGCCTGCGCGAGAGCACTTTGCTTACGAGCTTGTTAAAGCTACTCAACAGACATATAGGCCGGAGGTCTTTAATGTCCTCAACCGAGTCCTTTTTGGGTGTAAGACATATGAATGAATGGGTGACACCTTTGCAAAGGACTCCAGAACCATGAAACTCGTTAAAAGCGAGTGTAATGTCATTTTTTACCCAGTTCCAGCATCTTTTGTAAAACTCGAACGTGAAGCCGTCGGGGCCTGGGGCTTTGCCACCGTCACTGTCGGCGAGGGCCGCCCAAATTTCCTGTTCACAGAAAGGAGAACATAAGGAAGTAAAGTCGGCCTCGGAAGTGATGTTGTTAGGATGAATACGAGGAAACGGTCGAGACCGGAGATCCTCTTTGTAGAAGTTTTGATAGTAGTTCACAATTCCTTCATGAAGATGATCACTGCCTTCATAAGTGAGACCATTGATTTTTATCCTGCATATAAGATTTAGCTTCTTCCTGTAATTAGCTACCTTGTGAAAGTATCCAGAATTCATGTCGCCAAGTTTGAGCCACAGTTCTTTAGATTTCTGCCTCCAGCAAATCTCTTGCATATCCAGAGCTTTAACCAGATCAACTTCAAGCTGTATTCTGCTGCTCTTCTCAGTTTCAGTAAATGGCCTGGTTTCCTCAATGTTGTCCAACTCTTTTATTAATTTAGATAAGTCTTCAATCCTGACATGGATATTCCCAAACGTGTGTTTATTCCAAAATTTAATATTCTCCTTCAGGGATTGGAGCCGCTTTGACCAACGAAAAATGAATCCGGATCCTTGCAACGGCGAGAGAAGCCATATGGGGAGACTAGTATAGAATTGCTCGTCTTCCAACCACATATTTTCGAATCTCCAGGGTCTCTTGATGATCCTTTCTTCACCCCATTTAAGAAGAAGAGGGTTGTGATCCGACTCGATTCTCTCAAGGGCAACAAGGTTGGAATCTGGAAATAAAGAGTCGAATTGCGGGGTGATAAAGACTCGATCGATCCGGGACTGGGAGTTGCTGCCTATTCCGTGACTCCAGGTGTAGTGGCTACCCCCGAGGGGAAGATCAATAAGGGCATTCATATCAATGAGATCATTAAAAGCCCCCATGAGCTCTGAGCTTCTTCTCACTCCGGTATAGTCATCATGACCTCTAACCATATTAAAGTCCCCCGCGATGCAAACTGGTCCTTGGTGTCGCTGGCAGAACTCATGTAGCTCTTGAAGGAAAATAATCTTTTCATGTCGCTCCTGCGGACCATAGACAATAACAAGGTGCCAGGAATTGGAGCTAGCGACGTCAAGGAGCTCAACATCAAGGAAATAGGTGCTTTCACTACTCGAGATTCTATGGTATCTCTGCTTATCCCAGATCACGACTATGCCCCCTGAACTTCTTACGGCATTCTTAGCAACCCAACCGAAGTCATTTATACTGCTGACACTCCTTGCACAATCATCTGAACATGCTGACCATTTTGTTTCAACAAGACCAATAATAGAAGTGTGGTGCCGACTAATAAGTCTTTTAATTCGATCCCGCTTGATCGGATCGCCAAGACCTCTGACATTCCAAATGCATATAGAAGATCCCATAATTACTCTCTGGATGCAGAACCTCTCACCTGCTTCCTGCAACTCCTCGGTCCTGCTGGAGGAGGTGCGATTGGCCCTATTCGCAAAGCTTCCATTTCATATCTGGTTCGAGGATTTCTAATTTTCCTCTGGTGCGTCTCCCGGGCAAATTGAACAATGATAGAATCAGCTTGAGAGTTACCATTCGCATCTTCCAACTCAAACAAATGGCTTACTGTAAGGCTTGAGTTGATAAGGGTGCTAACGTCGAAAGGATGGCTGTTCGAATCCCAGGACTGTTCAGCATCAGCAGAGAAGCAGGATGGCGAAGGAAGCTCAAGGTTGTCCGTGCGGTTGAGGGAGGGTGAGGGGGAGGAGGTTAAAGGGGATGAGGATGGGTCTTGATCAGATTCGGTGGGGATATGGGGAGATGGAAGAGGGGTTTCGGCAACGGGGAAGTCAGGTTCGAAGGTAGAGGGTTGGGAAGAGAGTAGGTGTGAAGACAGAGTAGAGGTGCGGGCTGGTGATAAAAGCATTCCGGAGGGAGGTTGGGGGAAATTGAGATCAAAAAAGGTGAAGGTTAGGGAACGGGTTGGAGTTTCCAAATGCGTGGGCTGGGAAATTAGTATTCTGAGGGTGGATGGGGAATTGGGAGGGGAGGTAAGAATGAGGAGCGAGGATATGATAGATGAAGGGGAAGGGATAGGATTGGATCGGGAAGTAAACGAGAGGTGGTATGGTACTAAAGTGGGTTTGGACGGGAATATGGGCTCGATTGGACATGGCGGTAGATTGGGCTGGGGCCGATTTTGGGGATCAAGCCAAATGGGCCCTGCTTTCCGGATCCATACCTTTTTAGGCCTTAGAGAGCATGATCGAATTCCAGAAGCCTCCTTTGAATTTGCGCGTGTTGTGACGTTTAGTTTCCCATGCACGTTGGGAGACTGCGCCCTTGGTTTGCGCTGGCGGCTGTTGGATGATGATGGCACGTGGTCCAAGTTGCATCTCTCAGGGTTCCTACCGAAGGGACTATGAGTTTGGGTCGTCGGCTGCCCAACCCATGTCGCCGGTGAAGCCTCAACTCTGACGAAGAACGTCGAAGACCCATGACGGAGCGGGACGTAATCAGGCATTGAAGAGTTCTTCAGAATTTTAATCCGAACAAAAGAGTGACACCACAAGTTCCAGTCGATTTCAATGAAAGTCCCACAATAATTCCCGATTGCTTTGAGTAAGTTAATACTTTTGAGATGGAGAGGAATATCATGGATCAGGATCCACATTGCGGCGTCTTGCGGTGGAGTGTCTTCATATTCCCAGAATGCCAAATGGATGCTGAAGTCCTTGTATTGTGTCCGATCAATCTTAGTAATTCGAACCGCATCAGCAATGTTGGGGCAGATAAGAAGCCATCTGCCATCCGTTCTATCTTCAATGAAATAGTTACTGTCTATAGCCCAATTCTTCTTTGCCCAATTCCTGAAATCTGAAACCATATCCTTGGTGAAATAGGTATTACCTACTGAGTAGAACCTGAGGCTTAAGCATCTGCCAAGAAGTTCGTTCCTCTCATTAACCCCTTCAATACCAATGTCAATGAAGCTGCCTCCTTCATCTTTCTTGATTGTGCACTTCCCTCCTCCATAAAAGCCACCATATTTAACAACGTCTGCGTATGACCGTGAAGAAGCAGTATTTGTTGGTTGAAAAGGTGACTGTAGAGGTGCGGAAGCTGAGCCATTGTAACATTGGACACGATGATGAAGTTCAGCTGAATAGAAGGCTTGAAGTAGATGAATTAGTTTAGCCCAGCCTCGGTGGTTGCCGGAAGAAGGGATTAAGACTTTAAAAACATTTCCAGTTTTCGTCAGTTCTGAGATCTGCAAAAAGTTTCCGTAGCGATTGCTCAGCCTACCAATATGCAAACAGCGGGGTCCGCTCTTCTTTGCACAAGCTTTAGGGAGGACCCAATCTCTCATCGCAGCTGTTTGGAGCACCCCTTGCATCCAACTGATCTGATTCTCATCGAGGAGCACGAACCACTTCTTCGATTTTTCTTGGACCTGTAATTTGTAATTCCAGGCTGGACCTTTGGTGTTCCTTTCGATAGTGACCAGTCTAGAACCCAGACGTACTTGCCGATGAAGCTTTGTCACCAAACCGTCGCTACCGCTTGTCCCTTTAGCGTCAAACCTGCAAGACGAAGACAAAGATGAACTCTCACACTCCCCATTACCAGAACTCACACACTTCCTGACGTCACTCGAATAGCTGGGGCGAAACCTCTTCCTCTCTGAAGCGGAATCTCTCACTCTCACTTTCACTCTCTCTCTCATCACTTTCTCTCATCACTTTCTCTCTCACTCTCACTTTCACTCTCATCACTTTCTCTCTTCTTATTATTTTACTATCTTCAAGTTTCACTTCTCTAAATTTTCTTTCTCCTTCCTAATATTCTCCCACACAAAAAACCGAATGTTAAAGAGATGGAGTAGCTTAGCTAAAGAATTGCATGAACCCGGCCCAATATAAAACCGACAACAAGTGCAAGCCGTCTCATAACGGGCCGCGAAACCTAGCCCAGGAGCCATACCAACACCTCACCATCTCCCTCCAGCCCATGGCACCCATCATCCACCCCACCAATCAAACTTGCAGTCCTTCACTCCTTTGTAAAATCGGTAGGGTTACTTTCATCGTAGATGTAGGGGTGTACAAATTGTTACCATAATAATTATCAGATCAATTAAGTCTAAAATCTATTTAGTTATGGAATATAATGTCATTGTCTTTATCAACATAATGTAAGCGTATATAATTTAATTCGATTAGCAGGAAGATAATGCTAAGTTTTTGAGTGGTTATGCAAAGTATTGATATATAATATATAAGATATATGGCTAATTGGTTAACCAAACCAAACTAAATCAACACAAGCTAAAAAAAATTCAACCAAACTGATTATCCAAATTATCAAACCATATTACCCCAACACTACTGGTTAAAATGGTTACCACGGTAACCACTCTATTTGAACACCCCTGGTAGAGAATGCTTCAGAAGTGCCAACTATATCGATACAAAATCTTAGCACAAGTAGAACGTATAAACTCTCCGTATCGTTCGTGGTAGCTCAAATTGCTCAATGACATGAGAGAGTGTGGCGTGGTTTCGGACGGCCACATTCTTTTAACCCGAAAATCAATGTCAATCCCTGTAGTTGGCTCATTCAGTAGCCAAATACTTACCACGCTGTGGGATCAAATATGGTGATCGGGTCGTCAAGGTTCGAATGCCACATGCCAAATTGTTTAGCAAAGTCACGGGTTCTATTCCTGCCACTTCAATCAGGAGATGGTTTCAGCCTTGGACATCAGATACATCAAATAAACATCATCATTATTCATTACCTATGCAGGCTCCCTTAACCTTTAAGAACAGAGCACATTAGATAACAAGGAAACGGGCAGTTCCCTGAACAAGCGAAACGTAAACAAGACAGTAGGGACACAGTTTTGGAATGTTCCAACATCAAATTATCCATACATTAGGAAAAAAATAAAGGAAAATAAACGACATAGCTTCCTGGCTCTTGTTCTTTTTGTTAGGCTTTTTGGGACTAGGGAAATTGTTATTGGGCCTACTTTAGCCCATTTTAGTTTCAAGAGCATTACCATTCACGACTGGACTTTAATACATAGCAACTGAGAGAGGGGGGATGAGAGGGGCGACAAAAGGCGAACAGCCAACTGAGAAAGAATATGAACCCTCCCTCGCAAAGCCAAAACCTTTCCCCTGATCACACACTCCTCTTCCTTCCTTTCTTTCTTCCCTGGTTTTTAGCCCATGGCATACTTCTGGGTCCAGCTTCTAGCAGTCGTCTCGTACTTGTTCTTGTCTGTTTTGTACATGTGAGCGATCTCGGGCACCAAGGGATCGTCGGGGTTGGGGTCCGTCAACAAGGAACAGATGGAAAGCAATACCTACATGACAGAGCAGAGGGGTGTATAACCTTAGAGATCAGCATCCATTAATGAAACAAGCAGCAATGCTTTTGATTTAGTTTCTCATAGTATTCTTATTACTTGGTGCTAGTAAAGACTGAGCCAAATACCTTGGATATGGTTAGAGCAGGGCTCCACTGTTCTTTCAAGATATCGAGACAGATGCTCCCGTTGCTATTAATATTAGGATGGAACACCTTTGTTCTGAATGCCACCTGCAAATGCATTTTCGAGTTAATATAATACAAGGTTTTAAGATCATTCAGGAAAGGAGAAGTAAAACAGGAAAAGTATGCAGGAAGCACAGCTTTGCAGATGAGAGGAAAAGGGAGATAAAGTAGGAACAATGGTAAACCATATGCAGGAAGCACTATTCCATACACGGGATGCATAATTGATTTTGATCACAAGACGTTACACATGAAGCCAAACAGCAATGGACGAACAACACAGAAAGCTCAATGGATACCTTGGGAGGCTTAAATGGATAATCTGGTGGGAAATGGATAGTGACCAGGAAAACACCCCCGGAATAAGGGCTGTCTGGAGGACCCATAATTGTTGCTTGCCAATGAAACATGTCCTCAGCAACAGGGCCTGTAGCATTGCCAAAAAAAAAAAAAAAAAAAAAAAAAAAAATCAATGAGATTATCAATTCATGCTTTGAATTAGGATGACTCTAAATAACAAGTCATTATTTTGTTGCAATGAGTTCCAAAACTCAATCAGGCAGCTTCCTGGTTTGGACAGGATGCATGTACATTCCATGTGCAGCGTGATAAAACCATAAAACTACACAAGAAACCAGACATCCCTAAGAAGAAACAATTGTGGAATCCCACCACAATTGGCTATGGCTATCAATGAATAATGTGCTGCCAGCTGCAAAGCCATTAGCATAATAACAACCTCTTTACAGTCCAATCCCGTCGATCACGCTTTAGTTGCGTACTGTAAATGAAATTTCTGCATAAATAATAGAAATAAGCTGTTGCTAGTCCATATGAGGCATGAACAAATAAGACACGACCCTAGCATATTTCCCCGAAACAAGGAACCATGGTAGAGCCAAACTGTTGACTTGCATTCATTGGTAATCAAATTCCTTTCAGCGACTCTTGCACAGCGATCAGAACAGGTTTATAGCCTAGTTCAAATCTCTATCAAACCATAGCAGTTGACCCCAGTAAACCGTGTAACAGTTACCCACAAACATGGCAGGTAATTGGGTACCGAGACTCAATATAACCCATTCAAAAGAACCAGAAACCATTACAGAACTTTAGCACCACCAAAACCCTAAGGCCGACAAACACACATCAGTCGTCGCCGTCATACATGATAATGCCTCAAATCATCATTCAATATGGCTGCCTGCCTAAGGGGGATCTACACAATCGCGATACCGACGAATGAAATTCACCAGCTGGAATGGCGAATACGGCGGGGAAAGAAATCTACCCCTATGAATTGGTGATAAATTTCTAAACAGGAAGCAAAGGAAAGTCAAACCGAGCTGGATATTTTTTTTCTTCTTTTTTGCCCCTGTCGATCCAAACTAAGGGAGGAAATTTACCAGCGCTGCATGAGGTAGGAGGATCCTTCTGCAGATCCTTGAGTTCCTTCAAGATACGCTTCGACGCCATCGCCGAAAACCTAAGATTCCCAAAAGAAAACGCAACGGAATCCGATCAGATCTAACGAAGATAAACCACAATCGACACCGGCGATCGGCGAAAGAGGAAATTCATACCAGAGAGCGAAAACGAACTTCGAGATCAGATCCTCCTTCTGGATGAAAGGAAGAAAACCAGGCGGCGTTCGAAGGAGATGGAGCGAGGGATTGAATGAAGAAGAAGAAGAAGAAGAAGAAGGGGAAAGTTGAAGGAGGTATTTGGGAATCCGGGTAAGCTAATGGCTTTTTATTAAATTAATAATATTTTTTTTTAAAAGATGGATAAATAAAAATGGGGAAAAGTGGGAGAAAAATTGTGAATTGGCAGGCGAGCTTCGGAGGCCGTCCACTCCAGAGTCTCCAGAACCTTCTGATTGGGTTATTCTTGGGGGTGGTGGGACCCAATCTAAGCGTTTTCTCTACGTCAAATACCCCCATTTTTTCACCCAAAGCCAAAAGTGGCCGCCGAATAAATCCTCCTTTCCTTTATTTTCTAGGTTTTCATTAGTGACTAAATTGGAAATATTAACTTAATTCAATTAATGATTAATTTTTTTTTTGGGGTAGAATTTTAATGATTAATTTTAATTTATCCTTCCAATTACAAGGAAAACTACAAAAAAAAAAAAGAAAAAGAAAATAGAGGATTGCATTTGTGTGGTTTTAGCGATGGACATAAGGGGGAAATGAATGGTCGTGTTTTCCAAGTGGGCTTTTGGTTTCGTGTTGTCGTTTGCTTTGGGTTCTCCTGCGTGGACGGCGTCAAGTTCATAGCGTGTTATGAATCAAATTGTTGGTCAATGGCAATATTTAGGGCTGGCTTAATGACGTTTTTAAAAAAAATAATATTATGAATCAAATTGTTTTAGTGGCTTAAGTTTACAAACATTGCCATAAAAAATGAAGTTGAAGGGGCAAATTCGATGACAATACGTCCTGATTATCAATCAAATGCAAAGAACGATTTACACTTCTAAGAGGCGGAAGAATGTACACGTTGAATAAATCAGGAGATAGTAGTGCCTGTTTGGTTTATATTTTCACAAAAAAGATAATTGTATCCCAATAAAATCAACGAAACCACATACTTCAGTAGCATCATAATGAAATAATGGTAAATCAAATTATTTTCATAAACTTGGTAAATCTCAACATTATAAAAGAAAACAGTAAAAGAAAAAATTAATTAAGAAATTTAAAATTGACCACCTGACTATTTTTGCCGAGGATTGACTTTTACGCACATGCTGGCTCACAGACCGCGTAACCAAGCGCGCCATTACAGCTTCGCCGCCGCCAAGAATCCCGGCGAGGGTCCTCAACTGACCTTCTTCTCGCCCACAAAAATCCAGCTCGGGCTTCCCCCCTCCGGCCGCGATGAGCAGATTAGCCCGGCGAGTCCAAATCGACGACCCTAAGTACGACGACGACGAGAGGAATGGCCAGAACGGAGGCGGTGAGGAGGAAGGAGGAGGCGCGACGAAGCTGAGATCGACGAGCAGCAACGTGAGCGACGACCAGGAGCCCTTCATGGGGGTCAAGGTTCGACGGAAGGCGTCGCTCCACAGAGAAGTTAAAGGAGATTACATCGACGTGCCTTCGCATCCTCGCCTGATGAAGATCTTGCAGAAACAAGGTTAGGTTTCGGTTTACCTTCGATTGCGCTAATTTATTGATTAATCTAATGGCGCCATTGTATGTCGTTTCCGATTGCGTATCCTTGTTGGTCCGATTGAATGCGAGGTGGCTCGAAATGATTAATTCAACAATTGGTTGGCTTTCCTGCAATTGCAATTGGCGCCTAGCAACTAGATTTGGTAGCTTAATCGATTCAAGCACCTGTGATTCAGAACAATAGTGATTTGAATTTTTGTACAATGTGCAAGCCTGAATCCATGTTTCATTGTGCTCTTTGCAGGAGATAAGCACATACTATTTGCGGACAAAGTTTTGAAATTCACTGCTTCAGGGAAGATGAAGCGGCGGATATTGCTGATCACCGATTTCGCGATTTACATCCTTGATCCGGAGAACGATGTGCTCAAGAGGCGGATTGCAATGGCTGCAGTGGAGAAGCTGTGCTTGAGTGAGCTGAGTGATAACTTCTTGGCAATCATCATCCCGACGGAGTATGATCTTCTAATGGCCAGTACCAGAAAGACGGAAATCGTTACTGTTTTAGTTGAACATACCAAGAGCTCTTCGAACTATGAGCTCGATGTGGAATTCTCCAATAGGTAAGAACCAATCCCTCCCCGTGTGATGCTATGCTAGCAAGTTGAGGTTTTGCTTTCTGGGTATGGCTTTTAGTTGCTCTATAGGTGCTTTAGCTATGCCATCTTCTTCTACTATCAATGCTAGTTGTTTTATTGCTTGTGGTCAGAATATGGTTGTCTCCCTTGATCCAAGGCATTGAAAGGCTTCTTTGTAGACAACTACTCTTTGTGTTTTGGGCAATGTTTCCATGCGGATACCTTTAACTTTTAGTTGTTTGTTCTATGATTCAGCATCGAGTATCAGGCAGCTGCCGATTTGACTAAGGAAGTTCAGTTCGAGGAAGTTGAGGGTATGTGTTACTCATAGACTATATATTTATAACTGTTTCGTTCGAAATCATGACGGATGCAGCCTAGTTAGTAGATAACAATGTTCTGGTTTGCTTAATCTGCTCTTCTCCTGATCCCGGTCATTTCCCCTCTCGATGACCCTCTGTTTGTTTCCCCAGGTGGTGTCAGAACAAGAATCCTGAGGAAATGAGACTGCAAACCGTTCAGAATCTCAATCCTTCGTAACTTTTAGACCACCTCATAGGGTGACTCGGATCAGATCAATGTAAAGGCGAGATGTAGTAATTGTTCAGAGTATTGATGCCAACCAGGTGTGAGAATTGTTTACCTTTATTAGTTTTCGCTGCATATATATAAAGACATCAATTTGTTTGTACTACTGTAACTATGGGAATTGGGTTGCTTGCTGTCCCTTTTTCCTCTTGATTATGCATGTCCATTAGTAGAACCAACTGTCTGTATTACTTTGCAGCTTGTAATCTCTGAAGAGAGTGATAATAATCTCCAGAATTTGTCCTAGCTGGGATGAACTCTTGCATTTGGCTTTACTCATTGAAACAGTCTGATCTTCCAAGTATGCTTATTTTTCTCTGTTTCATTCATATTTTACCTGTAGTTTCCATACATAGTTTCCTCTAATCCAATCTATCGTCAAACTATCGTGTTATTATGACATACCACGATATCTCAATATTGACGAGATCGGAACACTGCATATCCTACATAGTTCCAGTGTGCACCCACTGAACAAACTAGCAGAAATGCAGGGAAGTGAATTTTGTTTGAATCAGAACTAATCCATTAGTTTTATACATCTCAGAAAAAATCTCACATGCCATCACATAACAACACAAGAAGAAAAGAAAAAAAAAAGCCTCCAGACTACACCCTACACAAGCTCCCAACTTGCCTCAGTCTTGACTGGGGATTTGGTGACCAATTCCAGCACCCATAATGAATTACCAAAACTCAAATTATTGAACATCTAATGTATGGCTGAAGAGCTACCGGCACGATCCGACCCCGGCGGGGTCGGAGTCGACATGGTGATCTCCACGCCGGAATCCGACCCGAATCCTCGACCATCTCCGGGACTAACACTAACACTACCTCCTGCACGTCGGATCCCTTCCACCATCTTCACCACGTCGACCATCTTCGGCCGCTGGTCCGGCATTCTCACCACGCAGTTCATCCCAATCTGCAGCATCTCCACCATCTCTTCCTCAATATTAGGATACCTCAGAAGCTCCACGTCGAACACCTCGGCGGTCCACTCCTCCCTCACCACGGAGTTCACCCATCTCACCAAGTGAACGACTTCTTCTCCCCCGGAGGAGGAATTGGTTGGGGATTTCCCGGTGAGGAGCTCGAGGAGGAGGACGCCGAAGCTGTAGACGTCGGATGCAGGGGTTGCCTTGCGCGGGTCGGTTACTTCGGGGGCACGGTACCCTGTGGATGCTCTGTGTGGCGCTGGTGCTGGTGCCGGGGTTGGAGTCATCAGCGTGGCTAGTCCGACGTCGGAGATGCTGCCGTAGTTGTCGGAGTTTAGGAAGATGTTTGAGGCCTTTATGTTGCCGTGGACGAGCTGCTTGGCGGCGGATTGGCGTGTGCTGTGGATGCAGAGGATTCCCCTTGCTGCGCCTATGGCAATCCTCATTCTGGTTTCCCAGTCTAATGGTGTCCTGCCTTCCCCTCTTTTGCCTGCAAAACACACATTGTTTCGTTGTGCTAACCCGATAAGCAATTTTCGACTTCCGTTAACCGGCCCTCATCCTTCTTTACCGTCGGTTAGTAGCGCGATTAGCGGTTAAATCGTTAACTGCGTAACAATCAAAGTGATTTAGTTTCAGAATCACATACCATGCAGCAGAACAGAGACACTTCCCCTGTCGTAGAAATCATACACCATCAGCTTCTCATCCTTGGAGTAGTAATACGCCCTCAAAGCACACACATTCTCATGGCTAATCCCACCAACCACCTCCATCTGCCCTTCGAACTCCTTCTTCCCGACTCCCACCTCCTTCAACCTCTTCACCACCACTGTCGTCGTCGCATCCTCCAACGCAGCCTTATAAGTCGTCCCGTAGCTCCCCTTCCCTAGCACCTCCGCTGACGCCCTCAGCAAGTCCTCCAAGTCAAATGCAAGGCTGCACCCTTCGAAGAACACCAACCTGTTGTTCTTACTATCACCACCACCACCATCCTTCTTCTTCAGCTTCAGAGCAGGCTCGCCTTTGTCCTTCGACTTGGCAGCGGTGGAAATCGTCGTGGTAGGCAATCCTCCATCGTTCTTATTCTCCTTTCTCGTACTAGAGTAGCTGCATATCATCAACAGGGCGATCGCTGCAAACGCCAGGACACAGCTGCCGAGCACAATCCCAAGTATGGCTGGCTCGGTCAACTTCCTTCCCGATTTCCTCACCGGCTGAGGAATTGGAGTTTCAGCAGAGGTGGCAGGTGGGATTGCAATTTGTGAAGACAGCTCATTGCCGGAGAATGCTGAGCTCGGGTACCTCATGAGCGAATTGGGGAGAATGCCGGTGAGGTGATTGTTTGTGAGGTTGATCTGCTGCAAGCTGGGGATGTTGATGTCCGGGATTTCGCCCGTGAGGGAGTTGTTGGAGAGGTTTAGAGATGTCAAGTAGTTCAATTTCGAGATGGAAGGAGGAATGCTGCCTTCGAATCTGTTTCCTGAGAGGTCAAGAACGGTCAAGTTGTTCCATACCGAGAAGTCGGATGGTAACGAGCCGGTGAAGTTGTTGGACTGCAGGTAGAGGGATGTCAGGTTTCTGAGGTTGGAGAAATCCGAAGGGAAATCGCCTGAGATCGCGTTGGATCTCAGGCTGAGGATTTGGAGCGAGGAGAGGCGGCTCAGCGTGTTGGAAGGGATCGAGCCGCGGAGCCCCATTCCGGGCAATCGGAGAGCTACGACCCGAGAGTTGTCGCTGTTGCAGGTGACTCCTGTCCAGAGGAAGCATGCTGGGAAGTTTGTGTCCCAGTTTGGCGAGTGGGAGTAGTGAATGTTTCTTATGAAGTCTAGCAATGCTTCTTTGTCCTCGTATGGCTCGGATTTGGTAACTGGGAGTGAAACTGAAGCAATGATGAGAAATGCAGAGAGAATGAATGAAAGAATCTTCATTTCCACCATGGCCTTCTCTGGTTGCTGCTGCTACAAGACTTGGTCGGTGACTCACATCTGTGCAAGAAACCAGAGTGAAAGGTAGTATTTAGTAATGGAGTTTATGACTGTAATGAATAGGATGAACAGACGTTACTTTGTTGAACCCATAAAAGACTAATAAACTAGTTAGCTGTTATCCCATTCCCATTGCCGTTCAAGTCAAACATCAACAGCTAACAAAGAAAGAAAGAAAGCTTTCATGCCGGTGTATAGCTAGCTAATTTGTTGACTTTTGGATACCAGGAATCGCCTAACTTCTGTTTGGTTGCTGAGAAAAGAAAAGGGTAGGAGCATTGGAGAGAAAAGATCGAAACTTTCTAGCCGTATACATAAACTGGATGCTGGGAACAATCCTTGGATCCCAGGAAAACACCTGTCTATTGTTGTTCACCTAAAAGGGTTAAGCTATCTACTTACAGAGTACCAGAAAAACAGAGAAGAGACTTACCAGGGAAATGCAGGGGATCTCAAACTCTATTTGTTCATACCCACAATCCAATCTCAATCTCTTGAACCCAGAAAAGGAACAGTGATGGGGAAAGATGGGGGAGTTAGTTGACACTTGATGAATGATGGGAAATAATGAATTGGGTAATGATGAATGGCGAGAATGAGCTGTATTCCCTTGGAAGAGAAGCATCACATGGAAAGAAGAAGAAGCTGCGGAAACCCAAGTAAGATAAAACAATAAAGTAATCCACCATATGATTAGCTTAGATTAGAAAGCTTAATCTAATCAGCCATGCAGGGTTCTGTGTTCCCTCTCTTGAGATTTGACTCAATGAATGCGACCTGGTTTTTTTAATATAGCGCAGGAGAAGGAAAGAGCATGTGAAGGAAGGAAGGAAATCAGCTGACTTGCTCTGTTTCGTTCTTGTTCTGCGGGGCCTAATATATGGGGCCATCATCTCTCTGATCAACTTGATTCTGTTGCTGCCGCCATTGATGCGTGTTTGAAGAAGGAACACTGTCTGCTACTTGCTTGCTTGCTGCCTTAGTTTTTTTTTTTCTTTATTGGATTTGTTTCTTGCTGCTGGTGACAGAGGGAGGGGAGGAGAGTAATTGCGGGGACGGTGAGAAGTTTGCATCACTTCCTTTCCATTATTATAATCGGTGTAAGGTGAAGTGAGATATAGATGTGAGAAAGTGGCATTACAGAACAGATTTGGCAAAACAACAAATACAGAATTTAAGATAGAGAGAATTTTAACTGTTTGAATGTTGATGCTGAAACTTCCTCCCTCCCAGATAAACTCTGTAATACAGGTACTTTCCAAACTCTGGTTTGACTGAGAGTGAGGGTTCAAGAACATAGTTTTATATAGACAAATCTTCGTTAACGAGACTTTATCTGATTCAACGTTCCGTACTATTCACATCCAAACTATATCTATGATATCGTCGCTTGTCATATGTTGTTTATGTGACTAAGAGTATTTGTTTCACACGACGTGTTTTCCAAGAGATGAACGATGTTGTTGATTTCGTTAGTCATTAAGGGCACACACCAAATCCTCCAAACTCTAGTTTACAATAAGGAACATTGAGCCTTGAGGTGTATATGAGACTTGTTGTGTCGCCGGCGGCCGCACCGGTTGGCCGGCGGGAACCAAAGCCAACGATTGGTGGCGGTTATATAGGGGGTCGGTGGTGACAGAAGAATAATGGCTACCACGTGATAACTTATTGCTTCCCTACCGGTTACCATTACAAAGTACAAAGAGCCTTTCTCCTCCCTTAAATGCCACTCAACTAACTATATGCTTGTCAGGGTGACTGTGAAACTGCATTAGAAAGTGTCGGTTTTGATTGTGTATGTTAGATGTTGTGTTAATCTTCGTGTTATTGTCACTTGATCCAGGTGTTGTGGATTCTGATTTTACTCAATTGTTAGATCGAGTTCTAAGTAAAATAAGACATGCTAAATAAGTTAATTTAAGCTCTTATGTGATATAACAGACAATCAAAAGTCGATTCTCGAGTTCAGAGCTTGATAGAGAAGGAATTAGGTACTTTAACCAAGTATGGACCTCAAATCTTGACGTAGGAGAGGAGAGAATCATTCCTTATAGGCATTTCCAAGTCTGACTTATAGGGGTTGAATTCATTGATTTGCGATTTGACATCATGTGAAGTTCTTACGAACATTGACGACATAATTTTATAGTTTATGATGATTTCATCATATTTTATATATGAAATCTTAAACCATCGGTTTCATTCAATTAACATTTTTTCATATATTGCTTATTATAATTGAATCGTTTGGATGATGGATTTCTAAAACGAGGTAATCTGACCCAATTGGTTCATAACTGGCACATCTAATAAAAAGATTCATCGTTTCGAATTACTTGTCGCACCCTGTCAATCTCAATTGATGCAAAAACAAACCGTTTCAAACTGTCTCGACACAACGGTTGCATCTTCATTTTTTCTTCATATATTGCTTGTTATATTGATGTTTGATCTAAGAATGTCACATGCCATGTATTACCCTTGTTTGATGGGGTTTAATGTCAACTATATATGTTTGCTATTGCGGCCTTTTCATATCGAAACTCTTTACTACTTATTGTAAACTGATAATCAAATTTGTTTATGTTTCATGATGCTGTCATTACGACTATAAACAACATTTTCCATGAACGTCACAGTGGTTCAATTATAATATTGTGAAGGATTTGCAGGGAGTAGGATTATTATGGTCAACGTCTATAAAGCATACAATATTCAGGATCGTTGCAAACTAGGGTTGATAAAATTAGTGTGAAAAATTTGCCAACAAAATCAGAGTGGCGCAGCGGAAGCGTGGTGGGCCCATAACCCACAGGTCCCTGGATCGAAACCAGGCTCTGATATGTTTTTGATCTTTGTTTAGACCTGCAAGCTGGTGTTTGTATTGTTGTCGCCTCAAATGGGAGAGATTTCCCCAGAGCAATTTTCGAGTTTTTCTGTTTCTGTGATTCGATTAGTTACTCCGAAGTGTATTTATATCTACTAGAAGAACCTCGATATCCTAGCTATGATGTTGGCATGATCAAGTAACTATTTTTATCTGGTTATGTTTCACGAAGCATCTCTTTAGGCAACACTATCCATGGAATGATGGAAGTAGGTTTCTCTGATAAGATGGAGCACATTGGTGATGCATGGTTGAGGAGGAGATCTCATAGTAAGCAAGTACATTGCATCCGGCATTAATCGACATTGCATCTGATTGCCACACGATCCATAATTAGCAAGAGAGCCATTTTGGTAGCTCTTGTGATGTTGATCTGAGATATTGGGGTTTGTATGATTGTGTTAGGAGGATCTTTATCCCCTGCGTAACAAGTGGAGATATTTGTACCAATTCACAATATAAAAATTCCCGTTATTTTAGTGCATCCAAAGTTCCAACTTCCAAGTATATGGTAAAAGTCTTTGTCTAATGAATCAACAGTTCCATTTTCAATAGAACAAAAAAGAGTTTAGAAGTATTCAATTTACAATGTTCTTAGACTATGAATTCTTTTTATTATAGAAAAAAATTAAATAGAAAATCACATCAGAACCTTAAATGTGAATAAAGTAAATTAAAAAAAAGAACTTAAACTATTAGAGGTTAAAAGGCTTAACTATCCCTTTCCCAACAACTCGAGTTATTGGGACCAAGTGGTTAGTTCGCTAACATGGTATCAGAGCCTAGAACCGAAAGGTCATGGTTTCGAATCCTCATAACGACCCCCATTTCATGCCAATTCGTTTAGCACAAGGAATGGTATGTCCAACTTGTGCAAACTAAAGCCTCGTGGTTTGGCAGCACAAGGGTTCAACCTGTGCAAACCGTAAAAATCCACAATTCGGCATCGGCTTTCGTTTAAGGGGGCGTATTAGAGGTTAAAAGGCTTAACTATCCATTTCCCAACAACTCGAGTTATTGGGACCAAGTGGTTAGTTCGCTAACATAAACTGTCAATGATTTTACCCGTTGGCGAACTATAAACTAAAGTAAGTTTTTCCTTTTTTATAGTTAAATTAATTAATTTGGGTTCTTAGACTATATCTCCAAAAATATATTAAAGGTGTTTGAGATATTATAAAATCATTCTTATTTAATGTACATGCATCCAAGTCAACCCTATATTAAGAGGCAATCTTCACTTAAATATGCGCATTTTTTGCTTAAACAGTATCACACGATAGAAAATGGAGGAAAACAAGTCGTGACTACAAGTTTTACAACATCCTCTAGATAATCAAATTCCATAGTTTCCCCCACAATTTGAGGATTAGTTCATGATGAAAAGAAATAACATAAACATGCTAATGTTCAACATCATAACTAATTACCTAAGCAAAGGAGCAGATAAAGTATTGAAGTATTGATACAACCAGAAATGCTCAAGTAGTTGACTGGGAGGCGATTAAGGTGCTTGAACAATATTTATCATCTATCTATACCTAAAAGAGGAGATTTATTGTAAATAAAAGTCTAGAGTTATGTGGCTTCAAGAAGGGGACTCGAATGCCCACTTTTTCCTAACCAGTATAACCCAGAAGAGAAGGAAGAATACAATCCTATACCTTAGGAATGATAATGACTTAGTTTATTTTGAGAAAGGTGCTAAAGCTAACGTGGCCATAACATACTTTATGGGGATTTTTCTATCTAATCAACATTTAGTTCATGACTTCATAATTAGATTGGGTCTCCAGAGAAAAGTGGATGGCTATATGAATTCCTGCCTATCAGCAATAGTTACTAGAAAGGAGATAAAAGATGCTACCTTCTGTATCGGTCCTTATCAGGTCCCGGGGATTGATGGGTTTATTGGTATATTCTTTCAAGCAATTTGGGATGTTGTTGGAGAATCCCTGTGTGATGCTGCCCTTTCCAACTTCCACTCATGAAGATGCATAATTTCAACCATACACTTATCACGCTTATACCCAAGGTTCCAAATTGCCGCTTCTCATAAAAATATGCATAATTTCGAATTACTTGTCGCACCCCTGTCAATTCCATTCGATGCAAAACAAAACCGTTCAAATTGTCTCGACACAATTGTTGTTGCATCTTCATTTTCCATAGATGGCTTATTATGTTGATGTTTGATGGGGGTTCAAAGTCAACTATATATGTTTGCTATTGCGGCCTTTTCAGATCGAAACTCTTTACTACTTTGTAAACTAATACTCGAATTTGTTTATGTTTCATGATGCTGTCATTACGGCCGTAAACAACATTTTTCATGAACGTGTCATTGTGGTTCAATTATAAATTGCGAAGGATTTGCAGGGAGTAGGATTATTATGGTCAACATCTGATAAAACATACAATATTCAGATCCCAACAAATTAGTTTTAATAATTTTGTTTGAAATATTTATCAACAGAATCAAAGTAGCGCAGCAAAAGTGTGGTGGACCCATAATCCACAGGTCCCTAGATCGAAACCAGGCTTTGATATGTTTATCGAGTCTTGTTTAGACCTGCAGCTGGTGTTTGTTTTGTGAAGCTGTTGGCTGAAGCCTGAAGCAGAGAAGGGAAGCATCAATTGGAGCAGGCTAGGGTTGGAGTATGTAACTCCACTCAGGGTCTGCAGAATCAAATTCTTCATCGGCTGTAGAAGCCTTCTAGTGGATTTACTATTTTCGTTGTCGATTTTATAATAGCGTGCACTATCGTTTAGCTTTCGTGTCAGTGTCATTATCAGAAGAACTTGAACGTTGGATCTTGATAGGCAGTTAAAATGGGCAAAGCTTTCGTCTCATTATCAGCAGAACTCAAACATTTGATCTTGATAGACAATCAAAATGGGTAGCATAGGTGCCCGTTTCTGTATCTGTGATTCGATTAGTTACTCTGAAGTGTATTTGTATCTACTAGAAGAACCTCAATATCCTAGCTATGATGTTGGCATGATCAAGTAACAGTTTTTATCCAGGTTTTTTTTTTCACGAAGCATCTCTTTAGGCGACACTAGTCCAAGGAATGATCGAAGCTAAGTAGCTTTCTCTGATAAGATGGAGCACATTGGTGATGCATGGTTGAGGAGGATATCCCATAGTAAGCAAGTACATTGCAGCTGGTGTTTGTTTTGTGAAGCTGTTGGCTAAAGTAGAGAAGAGAAGCATCAATTGGAGCAGGCTAGGATTGGAGAATGTTCCTCCACTCAGGGCTCTGCAGAATCAAATTCTTGATCGGCTGCAGAAGCCTTCTGGTGGATTTACTATTTTC